CCTTGATCCTCAGATTTCAGCCTCCTGTGTAGCTAGGAGTACAGGTGTGAGCCACCAGCACCCAGATTTGCTTGCATTTTTATTGTCGGGAGCCAAAAGTTGAGTCTCTCAACATGATAGGCTTGACTATCTCACTTGAGGCTGAGTTTACAGAATCCGACCTTTTCACCCTGCCCTAAGCAAACACCCTGCAGCTGCTTCGGCCAATGAAAAAGCTTCCTTAATGGCCAATGAAAAAGCTTCCTTATTCCAACCATATAAATAACCTGTGTGAAAAATAAAAATTTGCAGCTTGATCAGAATCCCTGTATGGCTGTCATTCTTCGTGTCTCTTGTCCCTTCATTCCTTCTCGCTTAGGTTCACATCCCTGGTTGACGTCCTGCAGGTCGGGACATTTTATTTCACATCAAGCCCCATTCTTCTGAACTCCACAAAAAGTTAACATACATATGTGTGTATACACATATATCAAAGCCTCTATGTATCAATATATAGGATATTGGCATAGAACACATTGATACATATGGGTATATTATATATAGATATAGATCCGTCTATAGATATCTATATCTATATGGATATATAGACATATACTGACGTATAGGTATATCGATATCTCAAAGCTTCTCAAGAGATCTTGCCAAGGTGGTCAGAAAGATGGAAAAGGTACTCCGCAGGTAAAGGTGAAAGGTCGCTGGTCGGTTCCAGGTCTCTGACCTCCACGAGGTTACCGGCACAGCCCTGCACAGCGCACACCCCCAGGCGCCTCTCCTCCCAGCTCAAGGACTCTCTGGCCACGCTTTCCTTTTCCACTTCGGTATCACTGACCTTTGAGCCCAGTGACAGGCGGCCCGGGAAGCTGCCCGGGTCAGATCTACCATCCCGCTGGCATCTGACTGGGACCAAACACTCCAGGGCGCGTATCCCAGCGACCACAGCATCCCTGCCGTGACGGCGGGGGCAGGGCTGACCCTCCGAGAACCCCGCCCAGGCCCCCCCCGCCCTGTGGGCACCTGGAACAGGGTGACAA